ACACAGATAATAGAAAGGACACTGGTATGGAATTAAAAAAAAAATCGATTTAATTCAAATCATTTAAAATCTATAATTGAACGTTAAAATAACGACCTGGCATTTCCAAACTGGTTTTATACATTAAATAAAAAATATTTATAATATTCTATGTGTAGATTTAAATAGAGATTTTTTTTAAGGAGCTTAAAAAGTATATTTTAAAAATCTTTAAATGTCTGGCAGTTTGTCGCTTTTGCCTTTCTTTGAAGGAAAGCTGAATTAAAAAAGAGACAAAGGCGCTTGCGCCGAATGCATCGCAACGCAACATAAACATTGTTGTGTCGCGTCTGCGTGCATCCTTGTCGCTCGGGCCCTCTCGCTCTGGCTATAAGGGCCGGAGCGCGGCGTTGCCGTTCTTCACGGGGCCAAAGGGCGGGAGTATCGCGGCACCTCATTGGCCGCTAGGAGCTTGGAGCGACGCATCGGATTCAAATCCAGTGCACCCGTGCTATGCGCCTGCTCATAGACCACTATTGGTCTATTCGACTCCGGTGTTGTGTTTTTTTAAAGCGATTGGTCGAGTTTTTTCCGTTACGAGTATACTGACGGTGGGTTTGGGTGCATTTTTTTCCAAGACACTTGGAAATGGTTCGTGTGAGGCCCCTATTGGCCGGAGTAGCGTTTTCGAGTCTTTATCTTTATTTACCTCATACAAATTGTTTATGGCATTTATCTTTATATAAAATAACCTTTATATTTATTTTGTACTTTACACAAGTTTATTCTTATTTCAACAACGTGAATTACAAATACTACATTTACTTTGTTTTGCTTACTTTGTGTTTTAACCTTTACAAGTTTTTCTTAGTATTTATAGAGGTATTCCAATGCAAAATTTGTTATTTCTATAAAATAAAAATATCTGGTAGAACCAAAATCCAAGAGCTTTTTCAATTGCAAGGAAAACAAAAGTAAGAATTTTTTTTTCTTTTAATTGGAACCAACTGAAGAAACTAAATATTGTTTTTTAAGAACACAGACCACAGATCTTCTGACAAGTGATTTAAGGGAAACTTGCAAAGGTTTTTAACACTAGAAATTGAAAAAGACTGAAAATTTAAAATCTGATCAGATACAAGCAAAGTACTAGTAAATCTAGTTGTAACAGCACCGTATGAACTCGACGTAGAGAAGGCAGGAAAATTATGATTTTTGTGGCTTTACAACTATTATAATGTAAAAAGTATTAACAACCCAATTTTAATATTTGTCAATGTTAGAGTTGTATATTCAATTGCTTCCTTTTTTTGGTATTGGATGGTAATTTTCGAAATACACCCTGTCTTTTATAAAAAGACAGGGTTATGTGAGATTTCTACTAACTAAAAACCCCCTTGATGGCCGCCCTCAATGCGATTTGCGGGTCCCGGAATCTCCAAAGGAACGCACCAGTACCCTCTGCACCGTGTTGCATTCGTCGCTGCTTTTCATTGCTTCCTACCGCTCTCACTTTTTGAACGTCACTTAAGCACATCCTTAATGATTCCTTTAACTTATGCTAGATTTAGCAGGAGATGTTGTTAGTGTCTATTGAGTGTGGCAGTACGACTAGAAGCTTTAATATTTGATTCCTTAGGTAAACTAAATCAATCTATCCAACGAAAAAGATTACAAATATCATACGACGAAGTGTTGCATCCTTGATACAAGTGACTAACACATATATTTGTCTCTATTTTACTAAATATAATGAAAGGGATGACATGTTTAAGTATGACAGTGGAAACCCAGTGTAATAAAAACACAAAGTTCATTGATATGTCCTGCGTCAGAGAATATCGGAGTCAATGCATTGCGTTGGAGCCAAGAGCACCCGATAAGCAGAGGTCGATGACCTCGCTGCAACCTTTTGCGTACCTACTGATCGCATCGGTACTCTGCAATTCAAGGCTTTTACTTTCATCCTTTTTTTAATAAAAGGGGGCAAACGAGTGGCGTAACACCGAGGTTATTTTACGGTTTGTAAGATAAAAGGACTTTTTGTTGGTGGATTTTTTATGGCAGTTATCTGCACAGTTGGGCAAGATAATTTTTACATTATATGAAACAAGAATATCTAAAAATCTGCCATCAGTAGCTATCTGACTAAAATAAGAGTCAAAAGTTTAGATGCTACCATAGAGCTACCTCTATGGTGGCGTCTAAACTTTTAATTAAAAAATACAAGACACAACTATATGGCTCCTTAAATTTTATCAAAAAAAAGGCCAATTGTAGCAAGATTTTTTTTAATTACACTAATTTAGGGCTGTCAATTTCATTAAACGTAGACTAAAAAAATGAAATATCAGTCTTTAAATTCTTGACAAAACTACATCAAGCCTGCATTATGCAGCATGCAATTTCGCCTTTAAAAATTAAATCAAACCTAATGAATAGGTGACAACCCTAACAACGTTTACTATACTAAGATTCTCAATGCTTATCAATTTATAAGCAATAATTAAGCGGAATTGTTATTTACTTGTAGTACCCGAAACCCACACGGGATGTCTACATTGTCGTGTGAATACGTCTTTGTTAAACCGTCGGTGTTATCTCTTAACTGGAACAGGCAGGCTTCAATCACCCTGGAGTTATCTGTTATGATATTGGACCACGCCTTATCACTAGCTTTCGCCCGCGACTCCGTCTGCGTGGAATTATAAAAACAAAAGTATGTAGCCTATGACTGTCCTCTACATCTATGCCAAATTTCATTGAAATCCGTTCGCAGTTTAAATTACAAACTCTAACAAACATCCATCTAAACTATCGCATTTATAATATTAGTAGCGAACATATCTTACTAATGACGTCATAAGCAAGCTAGATTTGGTATAAAACGTTTTATATTGTAATAGAGTAGAAATTAATATATTTAAAAATGTACTACCAAATGTTGACCAATTTTGTAGGATTTTTCTTAGATTTTCTTGTACTAACTATTGTTATAGGTGAAAATTGTTTAAATACATGATATCTAAAAAGTTATTTATACGGAAATTTAACACAAAATCCCGATTTACAGTAACACTGGAGAAGAATATGAATGTATATAAAAATGTATAGAATAAGAAACCTTAATATTTAAAAACAACCATTTCTTTATTCTACTTATGTCTTTCAAGCGTAATAAGTAGAAGAAAAATACTTCCCACTTTAATATAAGTATCAATAAACAGAAAAATAACTTAAGAGGAGACTGAAAACCAGCGCGGCCTTTAGTGACAAACTGGAGGCCGCATCAGCTGAGCCTCCTCCTTTTGGCCAAGACTTTTTTTTACATTTCTGTTTCAGTATTATGTTTTGTAAGTTGTGTTCTTTTTTTAAAATTCTTGGCTAATAAATAGTGTTTTATTTTATTTTTATATGTCTATGAAGAATTTTCTTTGTATTCAATAGGGAGTATACCAAGTGGATTACAACGTGAACTATGTGAAGCCGTAAAACACTAAACTACTCGCCCACGATATAACCTTTGTGTTGTATGTTGCAATGACAATGTTCAGTGTTGCCCTTACGATGTTATTAAATCGAATTTACTGTGGTACTATTGAAAATTGTATTAAAAATATTAAGGGAGCGTTAGTGATGCTGGCATGCTCTAATTAAGATACATAAAATTTAAATTTTATGATTTTTTATGTTTTTTGAATATGTAATACGGTTTCCTAAACGTATTCTGCTATAGCCATTGCCTTAATTCTATTTTTAAAATAGTGATGTTTTAATGGATTTTGGTATTGGATTTGGTATTAAAGTAACTAAGGGATTTTGAAATTCGAACATCAACATTTAAAAAAAAATTGAATTCAATTTTTTAATTATTTGAAAAGAAATGTTATGGCCATCGTTAAATCGAATTTGTTTTGTAAAAACTAGAAAAAACCATGCCATATAAAACTTTGTATTCCAATTGGATTCTATTACATTTGTGATAAAAAAAAACAAAAACAGTTTTGTTTTTTTAGTTGGCTAAGAAAATGTAAAACTGTTTCTAATTAACAAAAGAACCTTTGAATATAGATTTTCTTTAACGGAATTATTTCTGAGAATAATCTCAGAAACGAGATACAGAAATAGATAACTAGAACAAACGTTTACGTAAAAACATGTAAATGATTTACATCTCTTGTTAAATTGATTCTTAGTACCTTTTCAATTTGCAAGTGATTTTATAGCTTCATTAGACATCAGTGACTCTCAAGCTTCATAAACAATGATAACATATTAAAAATACCACAATATGTAACTTGATCCATTTTTATTGGTCCACAGTACATTGTTACAGCAGTGTTGTTATGAAATATGATCGCAGAGGCAACGCGTATCGTAAACGCCAATATACACTGTTAAAATATTAAAATAACAATCATTGAGACACTAATTATAAAAAAAAAAAAAATTGCGTAAAATGTAATTTAAAATCTAAGATTTTGAGTAAAGATTCAAAAATCATAGATCAATAATTTCAAAGATTAAAAAATAAAAAGGCAAAGGTAGTGGGGCGCTGAGGACGCCCATTTTCAAAATGGCGAACCCTATATATGACGTAATCACTATAAAACGACTGAATTACAAGAAAAATTATCGATTTTTTTCCATATTTTAGCGATTTTAGTTACATTTTTGGTGAAATAAACAATGCTTTTAGAAGTAAAACAGCGAAATGTAACCTGAAATGTTGATAATGAGGTTAAACACGTCATCTTAAAGCACATATGGAATGAATCGATTAATACTATTTATAGCTCCGACATACATTGTGCTATGAAATGATAGCGTAATTGCAAGGATTGATCTATGCTGAAAGTGAAAAAGTACAAAAAATACAATAAAAAAGAGCTGACATATGTTTGCATGTTAAAATATGTTGCTATTACAAATTAATGTTTTCCGTCAGTCGTGAAAATGTTTTATTGTAATTTTGTTAAAAATTGAAATTCGAAAAACAAAAATTGGAAAGCGAAACTCACCGCGGCTGCATTCTCAAAATCGCCGGATCCAATATGGCGGCGGACAAAGAAGCGAATCGAAAACCGAACTCTCGAGCACGATTTTTTTTTCTACATATCTGAAAAATTTTCCCAGCATTTTCTTTTTACTGAAACGTGATTATTTCGGTGTTATTTTGGGTGATTTTTGATTTTTTATTCTGTGCCGCGACGTGATGCACTCCGGCGTATGCATCGGGGTGTACTGACCTAGGGCTCGTTGCAATGCCGCAGGGCGCGCACACCAATACAATCCAACACACACACTTACTATACCTTCACCACACGTAATAAACTTCGTTATTACTTGTACTGTAAGAGCTGAAATCGCTTAAAACACTAAGTGAGCGTCTGTGTGCACCGAGGCCCGGTATCGTTGGCAAATGCTGAAATTATTCTGCTTAGCGGTACACACTGACTTTAAACTTCTCCAAGTTGCAATGAATTGCACAAAAATTTTCATTGTAAAAAACATTAATTTGCTGGATACAATTTTTAACAGTATTTTGAAGGTAAACAAGCGTCTCATTAACATCAGAAACATTAAGCACTAGACTAAGCGTATGTTTAAGTAACCATTAAATAACTTAGATTGGCATTTACTTAATCACTACAAGATAATAGTCAAATAAGCAGGAATTAATATGACAAGAAACAACATCATAAGAAAGTACAAAGGTTGTATGATTTAAGTTATCTAAGTGTCCTTTTCATCGGAGCTTAAACACTTAAATAACCGTTAAAGTCTGAATCAAAGAAAATTCCATACTAACAATTTGTTATACATTAATTCTTATATTTATGTAACTTAATTTTGTGACATACTTAATTTTTGTTTAAACTACACTTGCAGCTTTACTAAACATTTACCACAGTGTATCTTGAAGGAATCTTACTAATAATACAAATACGAAAGTTTAGATGGATGAATTTTGTAGTTTTGTAGGCGAAGCTGCTGCATAGATCTCGAAATTAGGCATAGACGTAGAGTATAGTCTGGAAGAACATATAGACCACTTACCTTTGTTTTTTTATAATTCCACGCGAATGGAATTGCGGGTAAAGCTACTTCACCATAAAGGTAACCAGAAAAAGACAATAAAATCAATAAAAAATATAACCAACATTTAAAAATACGTCATCTTATCTATAGATAAGATATTAACAAAGGATTTCTGAAGGAGGTAAATCAATAAACTAGCGCACCCGTTGGACATCAGTTTACATTTCCATTGCCGCAACATGTACAGAAACATATAGCTAACTCAGTTATTTTCATAGAGAAGAGAGATGGCATGTTTTATAATATATCTTTAGTGTAAATCCACAGTAAGTAGGGACCTTGTGATGCTTCAATCTGCGCAGAACTAAACTCCAATTGGAATCAATCGATACAAATTGTATACAAAGTTAACTTCTGTAACAAATAAACGCTTACTTGTTACTAAGTAGAGTATGTAAACATAATTTATTTAAATAAGATTAAATAAGTCTTCGCGCTTACAATAGATGTCAAATTCACACCAGTAGACGAAGATCTAGAAATAGATGGATGGATTGCGTGAAAGGAGACATGATCAAGAAGGGAGTGATTACTGAGATGACGGATGATAGCATCTGTAGGACGAAAACCTGTTGCGCTGAAGGGGGTAGGGTGAGGGAAGGGGGGATGATGTACGTCAAATGACAAACACATAAAAACAGTTGCAACTAGCGCCACCTATTAGAAGTTTACTGTTTTCCATTTTTGAACAATGCTAATTACAATTATAATTGTTACTAGCATTGCATTGCATAGCAAAAAAAAAAAATTGAGAAGCCTATGTCTTCTTCCAGGCAGACTATGCCAAATTTCATCGAAATCCGTTAAGCCGTTTAAGCTACAAACCCGAAAATACATCCATACATCTTCCATCCATCTAAACTTTCGCATGTATAATATTAGTATGATTGATACTTTGATATTTTTCAGAAAAGAGAGGGGTTTATAAAAAGGTATGACGTAAAGGAAAGACATAAATAGGTCACGCCACTAGAAAGGCGTAACAAGAAAAATAACACTATCTGTACTATTATAATAAAGCGTAAACATACACTTCTTTGTTGCCTAGGATGTCAGCAATTACAGCATATTTTTGAATAATTCTCTTTTTAATAGAAAGCCCTACACTTACGTCACGCTTTAGGCTATACATTTTCACGCCATTAAACTTAGGGGGTCAACATTATCGGACAAAAACCTTAATGTGGGAAAGAGACCATAAGTTGCTGCCAACATCAAGGAAGCAAGGTTGCCATAGTTTGTCATTTTGTCATGTCACTTTGACATTTGTAATTGATAATTTAACATGTAAACAATATAATAAAATGTTCATAATTTCATGCGAATGAAGTTGCACGAGCTAGTAAATAGAATAAAAATCTTACCTCATTGTCACACCTCAATATAACGTTACTTAGAGAATATCTAAGCATAGAGTATTTTAAGAAACTAAGGCATTGATGATATTTAACGACTTTGATTTTGACAATCCCTTAACGGGAAACACATAAACATAGTTACGATAGAACCAAGGTAAAATTGACTTATTTCATTAAAGAAGTGCTTTTGTATCTCATTTTTCAAGTGACTATAAAACCAACGCTCATACCATTTTCTCGACTATGTTTTATGTTTATGTTGAAATGTCCTAAGTAAGTAAGTAAGTAAGTAAGATAAGTGTGGTGCCGAAGGCCTAGTTTTAGTCCCTTTTCTTTCCATCCTTTTTTTGAGAGGAAAGGATGGGAAGGAAAAGTGGAATTGACAGCGGAGGAGAGGCCCAGGAAGGGGCAATATCCTGTTTGTTTGCGTCTCCTCTTCTGGTAGGCAACGCATCTGCAATTGTGGATGTCTATGGGCAGCGGTCGCTTCGCCATGTCGGCGGATTTAGGTGGCCGCAAGCTCGTTTGCCACCTTATGTTATAAAAAAAACTAAACACATTTGATGTTAATTATTACCGTTATTTAATCATTATTTAAAACATAAGTGATTTTAAAATCTCACCTTAATCTTTGACAAATTCTGGTACAACCATGATTCAATACGAAATTTACCTGTCAAAGAAACAAAAATAAATAAATACCTCATTAACATTTACAAATAATTGCTTTATTTTTAAATTCAAATATTTTACAAGTTCCACCAATCACATTTCTTGTACAAACGTAAATGTCTTGTGGTTACAGCCGTTCCTATTGCATTTACGCGATGAAGTCAAAAATGATGTCATACTTTATGCAACAGTCAACATAAGGATGCGTTTACACTAAAACTCTTCATCATGAACGCCCATTTTTATGTGTGTTAGATCTTAAACATTATGTCCTAACATTATTGACCTCTAAATGCATTTAAATGTACCGACTCTACCTTAAAATGTAAAATAATGTAGACTTTTGTAGTACATTGCGTTTTTACTTACTTTTACTACTAATACGAGAATGTTGATAGGGGCGACCAAAATAATTTGACCTCTACATGCAATATTTAAAAAGTCTACTTCACAATTTGAAGGTGACCCGTGACATGGTCAGTACACCATTGACTTCCGGTTGTCAACCGCGAGTCACAACCACAGAGCTGTCAATTCACGACATCGTTTTAAAAAACGAATTTATTGGTGTAATACAGTACGCAGTTTATCGTCAATCGTCAACCCTACCGTTGCGTCCTTCGAGGAAGGAGATGGACGGATCGTGAGCGCTGTTTGAATCACTTTCGAGTATTTCGGCTCCTACGTATCAGGAGTAACTCAATAAAATGCAATTTTTCATTCGAGACAATTTAGTATACATTAATTACATACGACGATGTACTTGTTCAGACAATATTTAAAAGTAGATTTAAGAAATATATCTAAATCTTGCAGAGTTTAAGTATACAATTAAATTTTGCTAAAAACTGAGTTATGCCTTTATGCGTAGGATACGATTTATTCACGATTCGTTAGTCGCTTCACATCAAATTAAAGGTCCATGACCTTGGATTTGTAAGTAAAAGGTTTGTTGTGAAAACTAAAATATGTTAAACTATACATTTTCACGCTATTAAACTGAGATGGTGAGTAAATTGGGAACATTTTCTCTACGGGAAAGGAACAACAACAATACCAGCAAAGAATAAAAATTATATTAAAGTTGCCATAGTTACTTCAATTCGTAGCAAAGGCCTAATTGTCATTTTGAAATTCGAATTTTGACATAAATTATTTCTTACACAATCTACACAATAAAATAATGTTTTTATATCATGCGTAAGAAGACGCATAGGGACCAGCAGTTAGTCATATAAATTCAAATATTGTCACCGAACCATTCATCAGTGAACAGTCTTTAATAAACATAAATGAACCTTATCTCAAGTCATCAAGGTCGATAATCGTCAAAGCCATGCGGAGTCTTGTGCTACAAAAAAACAACCAAAAAATGACAAGCCGGGCCAAGACTGGCTCTTATCAATTATTCTTTGGCCGGTTTCATGCAAGTGAAATGGTATAATATACAAGCAATTTTAACACTTATTACCTTGGTACAGAGGCTATTTAAAAGTGCATCCGAGAGACCTTGGTGAGGTAAAACAAAAGTGGGGTATGGTAAAAATTATGCGGTTGCTATGCAGCTAAAAGTACGAAATCATTTCGTTTATGTTCAAATCTTATTTTTTATTACTCGATAAAATCAAAAAAATAATTAATTTGGTGGGTTCAGTTTATTAAAAATTAGCTTTCGCCCGAGACTCCGTTCGCGTGGTATTAAAAAAAAAACAAAAATAAGTACCCTATGTGTTGTTCCATACTCTGCTCTACATCTATGCCAAAATTCATTCAGATCCATTCAGCCGTTTAGGCTATAAACTCTAACAAACATCCATCAATCCATCCATCTTTCCATTCATCCATCTACCTAAACTTTCGCATTTATAATATTAGTTAGATTAGACTACCTTTCACCCGCGACTGCGTCCGCGTGGAATTATTGAAAAACAATAGCGAGTAGCCCATGTGTTCTTCCAGATCCAGACTATTCTCTAGGTTTGTGCAAAACTTCTTCAAAATTCGTTCAGCCGTTTAGCTACAAACTCTAACAAACATCCTTCCATGCAAACAATCGCATTTATAATATTAGTATGATTGGCTGTTTTACGGTGTAAGTTGAAACTATGATAAAATT